TCAACTTGCAATGCAACAATGCTGCGAGACAAGTTGAAGAAAAATGTTGCCCGTATTACCGGACCTTAAGTCTCAGCTAAAACCAGTTACGGTATGGTGAATCCCATCTCGTTCGATTGGTTTGCTTATTTTGGAAAAACCACTACCATTACTCCGCAGTCATTCCAACGGGTTTGTTCCAGCAAATGGTATTTACTACCATTATTTGAATACTCATGTTCTAGAAGAAATAACAATTTTTCTGATTTTGGCCTTACAATGAGGAGACTGACAAGGGAAAATCACATTGGTGTGCGAGTTGTGAAAAACATTTCATCTGGTGTCTCTTCGTTTTCTTGTGAGAAGACCAAAGTCTGCGGTAAAAAAAAAATCTTAAACAAACTAGTAGTAATCAAAGATTGTGAGTGCGTTTTGTTGATTTATTGATACGTTGCGTGACAGCGCCAGTTTCCGTAGACTCACAAGTTTAATAGCAGTAAAATATTTCCATTTATAGCCTTCAAATTTCGTGCTACATATTCTCACATTAACTGGTAATGTTTAAGCGTAAAAGCTAATTTGTAAAAGTATATTTTACCACATTACTCTAAGCTGGAAGCACAAACATAAGCAAACATTTGCAATCGTGTGCTCGTTTATCGTCAGCGCAAACAAACTCCGTGCGACTGTTCGAGTATTTCCCCTGATGAATATAGTAGACAGTATTTACATAATTTGCCGTTCCTTGGTTCAGGCTCCCTCTTAGCTATGGATCTCGGCTTCAGAGTACTTTTCCGCGATTCCAAACAATATTCAACCGGATAAAGACTGAGCTACATATCTCTGTCGCGACTGGAACTAATCAACAAATGCAATCAAAATGTATAGCTGTTCCCACGGCGATTCAAAGTCGTGTTCGTTAAGATATAAAATAAACAAGGACAATTCCCTCAGATTTCGATAAACGCTGCCGTCGAAGCGTTTAAATTCACCGAAATCCAACGCTGAGTGCACAAAATAGCGAAGTCTACGGCGACTGAATGAAAAGAAGTCATAGAAAGATCCAGTGCAAAGACAAGCTCACATGGCCTACTCACATGCTCACATGTTCGCCACATGTCTTGTCACATGTCTTAAAAACGGTACCAGTTTACTGGCCGTGAAATGCCCCTGCAAAAATCAAGCGGGGTGGCCATTTCGGGGTCCTTACAGGAATGTGGTTTTTTCCTGCATATAACCGTGCACAGGGCAACCAACTCAAGAAAGCCACAGGTCAAAATTAGGCTTGGGTTCTCCGAACGCAATAACTGACTTTTAGCAGAATTTTCAAATGCACTTTTACTAAAACGTATGTACAACATTATAGTGTTAGTATTGGATAGCTATAACTCATGGATAACATACTATATTTACACCTCAACCAAATACCTTAAGTTCCATTTAGCTATTCGAAAACATCACGAGTGCAACACATCTCAAATAAATAAAATGAACAATTTTGGGAATTACATGCATTTCAAAAACAAGCAAAACCTAGAACAAATTTGGGGAATTTTTAGTCGACAAAGTCCATGGCAAGAGCGTATTCACGACCCTCCATCACCTGGCTTGCTATCCTCTTCAGGGTTCGACTCATTCTTAACCTGCTCAGCATTATCATCAGCAACAGCGACATCTTCACCTTCAGGCTTTGCTGTCTCTTCTGAATTGTTCTCCTCTGCAGGTTTCGGACTCTCGTCGGGGTTCTGACCCTCTTCCGGTTTCTGGTTCTCTTCAGGATTCTGACTCTCTTCAGGATTCTGACTCTCCTCAGGGTTCTGACTATCGTCTGGTTTCTGACCCTCTTCAGGATTCTGACTATCTTCAGGTTTGCTTTCATCACTTGCACTTTCTTTGACCTCTTCCTGAGCCTCCTCTTTAACCTCCTGAATCTCCTCAGGCGTACCTTCGGCATTTTCATTAGCCTCCTGCTGATTGTCAGCTGAGATCCCTTCCTGCTGTTCTTGCTGACTTTCTTCGTCACCTTTCTCGCCAGGTGTCTCTTCCTCCTTGTTAGCCACTGCTTCTTCACCTTCGTTAACAGGCTTGCTTTCACTCTCTGGTTTGTCAGCTCCTTCGTCTTGTTGTACATTTCCTTCCTCTTGGGCTGGAACCTCACCACTGTCTTTATCTGTTACTTGCTCAGTGGTACCATCCCCACCCTCCGGGGAAGCTTGTTGTTGGACTTCTTCATCTGCAGGTTTCTCAGCTATATCCTGTACATTTTCAGCTGTGTTTTGTTTTGTTTCATCTGCTGTTTCTGTTTGAAGGTTATCTTGTTTTTCACCTGTAAATATGAATATTAATAGATCACTGAATAACATTACGTCCAAGTTGTAACATATCTGCCTAATCTCTTGCATCTTCTTTGCAGCAGAAATCTTTGGAAGTCCCTTAATTTCCTTGTATCTCTCCTGCTACTGCCCCATCAAAAATTCTTTTTAAACTTCATGGAAAAGATTTGCTTGATTCACTTTTTCACCAGCCGCTATCAATGGCCACAATGTATGGAAACTAATGTCTTCTTTCACTTAAAGGGCGGACGCATTCTGTTTTAACAAGTTGCCAGTACAGGTAAAAACATTGCAGACAAAACAAGGTGTAACTTACAGTTATCGTTACATGCCACACAATGCATAACAATTTAATAGAAAACAGTTTTTTTCTTTAACTAAAATAATAATTTATCTTAAAGCGAGTAAAAAACTTCTAGAATAGTGCACAGTTAGAGGTGTGGAAACCTGGTTTAACAGTCTAAAATTAAATGGCAAACAACCAAAACGTATTTCAGTTTAAAATTAATTTACATTATGATTAAATGTAACTTGATGTTAAATGCACAGTTGTCAAGTAATTGTAACAACCAAAAACGCGATTTTAGTCAGGAAAAACAACAACTGTTAATGTTACAGGTAATGGTAAAAGAAACTCCAGACAAGGGTATTATACCACATTGTGAACTTAGACGTTAGTAATGAAAATTATTTTACTTTGCCCAATGACATCTATGGAAAAAGTAGTGTATAAAAAACTAGAAACAAATTTCAAATTGAACTTACCACGAGGTTAGCATTAGACATCGAATCAGGGTTAGAAGAACGGCTGGCTGACAGTAATCTCTTAAGTGTTTGTCGTTATGGTTAGACTGTGTAACAGATGTATGTACACTTCACGTGGATTTGCAAAAGGTGTTCTTAGCGTCAATTTATGTTGCCTTTTGTCTTTACACGTTGTGTATAGACAGGGTTTAGTTTTGTATTTAGTTCGTGTTTATTTTCGTATTCTCAGTAAAAACACAAAACAGTAATAGTGGCCATGCATTCTGTTAGTCAGTAGCTGGCACACTGACTTGATCTGCAAGAGAACTTAATAGTCTAAAAGGGTTATGCAATCTGCTAATCAGGAAAGTAAAATTTTAACCTGTTATTTATCCTTAAACAATATTATTGTTATGTACCGTTAGTGGCTCGAGCAGTCAGAGTCACACAATGTTATCAGTTATCTTCAACCTTGATTTTCCACTCTTTATTGTTTATACAATGTTTTGTTATAATATTTTGACATGTTGAAACATGATAACAATTATAAGTTAGTGGTTAATTGTGATTAACTATGCATCATAATCAAAAACAGTGAAGTAGTTCTGAGTCAAGCATTACATACATCTCAACCAATTAACCAGTTTATCATAATATATAGATTTAGCCAAGCCTAAAAGCGAAGCTCCTGATTGCAATAACTGACGATAAAGGAAAAAGACAATTATTTTTTTTCTTGGATCAGAAACTCAAAAAATGATCAATTGTGAGCATGTAATTGTTCAGCGTGTGGTTTTGCTATTTTTTCCAGTTAAATTTTAACAAACTATACCCAACAAGCCTAACCAAGATTGTAGAAATTACGTACGCAATATATCAGGGACTTTCCAAGAGACGATTTTATAAGGAATATGTCAGAAGAAAAGTCAACAACGCGCCAGGGGTTAATTTGCGCCGAAATTTTGCCTTTGCGAGTACTCCTTCCTTCTCCCCCAGAGAATAACATGACTGGAGCCCGCGATCCAATCGGTAAACCAGTAAATGGTCAGCGGTCAACTTTAAAAAACACGCAACCTCGATGAGCTGTAAACCTGAGCCCGCAACATAGCCACGTGATACTGGTCAGCTTGTTGTGACAGCTGTCAATTAACAATAGCGTGGACGCCCAAAATCAAAGATCTAGCTATGGTAATGGTGCTACTCTCTTAGTTTTCAAGTTATTGGCGTACGGAGGTACCTACGTACGGACAGTCACGTGACAACCAAAATTTTTCAAATCGATGGGTTACCAAATTTTCTAAGTTATGGGGCTCCACTCGCGCGCCCTCGGCCCGCAGGAGCTCCGCTATGACTAAGAAAATTAATTTATTAATCTGCACTGCCGCACAAACTAACTCGGAACGTTCGTAATTTTCTGAGGCACATAATAAATGAGTAATTGCATGAAAGCCCGAGCAATTAAGGATTTACACTACTCCCGGTATTTGAAAAAGCTCGTGCCATTTTGGGAGAATTTTCAAACATGATTGGTAGTGTACATTACTCATTACACTCGTATTCATACCAATACTAACACAGTCATGTAGGCTAGCTGGGTTTAGTGTACGCCTATGCACATTCCATTGGCCACAGCCAACGTTTGCATTTAATATTTATCATAATTTTAGTTTGATATACGGCTTCAGTTCTAATATATGTATATGAGATATGTGTTGCTTCAGTCCCTCACTAAAGTGATGGTGTCTCCTAACGCGCTACGTTCTTCATTTTATGGTTCTGTTATAAAGTAGACTCAGTAAACCAATTAATATCATTCGCGTTATTTAAGATCGAGACTCAAAAAGCAATGTCACGGATGGTGCTTGTTAAAAGATTTAGTTGTCATTTAGAGTCTATCTCAATTAAAACAATCCTTGTTCTTTTTCGCCTTGTTATGACTTTCCTACAGTTGAACTTTACCTGTACCATAGTGAATTTTATTTTAAGTATTCTATCGATATCCTTTTTAGATCGACCTTGGCACATCACAACAAATTACTCGATTTAATGCTGCATGGTTTTGTTACCTGTTAATGCAATACCCTCTTATGGTTAGTTACTTAATGTTTACATATTCTTACCTAAACCAATTGTAGTTATCCTTGGCAATTATTGCTGAATTTGTAAATCATTTTTAGCTAGGTATTCGCTTATTAGTAAAGGATTATCCCAGTGCTAAAGTTTCAGACACGGTAATAAAGTAATTATTAAATTGCTGCTTTATCAGGCCTACTCTTGTGATTTATATATACAGATTATTCAGCGTGTAACAGATCTTCACGAATAGTGGGTAAAATGGTTGTACTTATTGTTCGTGAAACCATCGAATAGGAGATATACAATATTACTACACTATATTATTCTTGGTATTAAGTTCCAAAATGGACGGCTATGTACACTTCAAACTGTCTCATTTTTAGCGTGTTCTCTTGACCATACAGGATCAATTGATGCAACGATTTAGAAGAATAAAAAATTTCTGACTTATTTCTCAAATATCCTTTTATAACAACAAGCATAGCATAGTCACTCAATAAAAATTCAAATTCAATTCCACAGTTATAATTTAGAGCATGCAGAGTCTATATTCTGTTACCTGATGCTACTATTTTGCCATATAACTCTAATCGTAATGCAATCTGTTCATTCCATGTTTTAGGTTGCAGTCTGCAGTAACATGCTCTGACAGGTTGAACCAGCCAATGACTAACCACTGTGTCGCCATCAGAGTTTCCTTCAAACACCTTTACAGAAAAGCAGCATAACTTTACAATCAAAGCATTGTGAATTCACTGTAATGATAGATAAAAACTAATTTGAAGGGTGGCCAATGGCCATTCAGCTGCACGAGGCAACTCCACAGGGCTCATGTTAACAAAATTTGTCCTGACTAGAGATTTAAAAGATACTTAGAAAAATAATTAAACAAAATCTAATATACGTTTTAGTTGACAACATTTAATTCAAAAGATAAAAAAAATTGAAGGCACGAACTTGTACAGAAACATCTAGAAACATTAACAATTATAGATTTACATAACAGCGACAAAATGATAAGTGTAAACTATTTCTGACCTTTGCCTCATTATTTTCCTGATACTCCTGAAAGTTCTCCCCATCCTGACTGAACAGCATGACATAACTTTTAACACAATGCTCTACACCATCACCACCACCCTGTGTGCATACTTTTGTTATCTCAACAACGTTCCCAAAGTCCACCTGGAGCCACTGTTCGTCGTCACTTTGAAGCGGAGCCCAGGTTCCCATCAATTCTCCTTCAGGTTTGGTGTTGAGCCGTGCTCTTGATGCATTGTGATGCTCGTCAAGTTCGGACGAAGCTTTAATGGCATCAGTGGGAATGCTACCATTTTCTATTCCAAGTGGTTCACTGTATGAATCTTTGGATTAAAAAGAGAACTCAAATTATAACATACAGGTAGGGAACACAGCTCTGCATAAAGATCATAGAATACATTGCCAACACTCGTACATTATAAAGGATATCCAGTGTTGTTCACGCCCATTGACCAATGTCGCCTGCATGGGTTACAAATTTGACCTTATGCGCCTACAATAATTTATACACTTGTACTACTTGGAGAAAAGTTTTCTAGTTTACCCGCTTAAACCAAATTCTCCCATTTTGGAAGGAAAACGACCAGGGACAAGATCGTCCTTCGGCTTTTTAAACACAACCTTCAGAAGCAACTGTTTAGAAAGAGTGCTGTCACTGGATAATTGCCATTAGCTGCTAAATTATAAAAACTGGCAATAATTGTTCTCTCTATTTGTAAATTTTGCCTGCATTTAACCCACGCTGAATTTGACCCCAAAAAAAAAGTTTTCTGAATTTTTCTAGGAAAAAAATTAGCTCAATTCAGCTGAAACCGATATCTTCTGAGCTGATTGAGTTAATGGGCCTCCAGTGTTACCGAATCATTGACGCCTATGTCAATCACACGTTTTGGTAAGTTTATTCAAGACAGACAATGAATATAAAATAAAATATAATCTGTTCAAATCTGAGATAGAGTACCACTGAAAAATCTCGTTAAACCATCTTACAACCTGCCAAACGCAAAAATGCTTCAAGTGTTTTTAAAAACATAGTTAAAGGGAGCCATACCTGCATCACACCCATAAAACTCAGTTCTGATTGCAATAGCTTCATTCCAAGTCTTCGGATTAAGTCTTACAAATTGGGTTATGACAGGATTATTAAGTCTATTGTATATGATCGTATCCTGGTCTGAATTGCTTTCAAAAACCTAAAACAGATTTGACAATGGCAAATAAATAAAATAAATAAATAAATATAACTGAATAAATAAACGGACCGACGGCGACCAAGAAACCAACCCAGTAACAAACGAGCGAATGAGTCCGTCAGTGAGTGAATAATTGCACAAACAAGATATCAAATAAGTAATATTAAATAATCACATTTACTGAACAACTTTTCTGTACCTCTTTTTTTGCGAACAGATCATTAATGACCAACAAATTCATAATTTAACTTCTGCATTTTCATTTTGCATTTCTTACATTTACAGCCCTAGAAATAGGTTTTCTTTATCTGGCACTAATGCAATAAAACACGATTAAAATTCCAGAAGAACACTATGAAGGGGCTATTCATTTCTACTTTCCAGAAGTGAGAAAAATGGAGAGACAGCTGCTGTCACAACAACCCTAGTAACAGCAAACTGGAAAATGTCTAGACTAGTGAAAAGTATTTTTTTACGACGAAATGTCATCCAGTGGAATGAGACCTTGAAAATTTCGTCACAAAATACTTAACTTGAATACCAATTCAACTCTTCCTAAAGGGAAATGACAAAAGAATTCAATAAAATCATACAGGATACTGACGAGTTAATCCATAAANCATGCGGTTAAGTCCTGTGATTGTAATTTTTAAACAGAGCTCCTCATCCAGTCCGTAATGATAACCGTCATATGCTAACATCAATGTGATGTTGAAGAAATCAAGTTAACTGATAGCACCACAGGGACTCAGTCTCCTTTGCAGCCGTTATCTGGGTCGTAACTTTTCTCCCCACTAACCGCTGTTTAAGTCTGAACTGTATTCCTTTGTGCAGTTTAGCCATGACAGCTTTGCTCTTATATTCTCGACCCAGTCGTACGAAAATTCGCCGACCATACACCAAATTTTAAAGAATTTTAAAAGAATTTCACGGACATTGAATAAATTTGGACAAAAAATAACTGTACTTTGTTGAGTGGTCATGCAGGTGTATGATAGCATTTTTAGTATCCCATAGAAACACATGCAGAGCTCGTAATAAATAGAAGACTCAAACCTTTGACAGTTCCATCAGGTAAAATTTCCACTTCTGGAAAGAACTCTTTAATCACCTTCTCAGCCTTCTCCACAGAAGAGCTGCCATGCACAGCATTCTTCATTGTGTCTGAACCAAACTGTGCACGAAGACTATACATGGATGAAAAAACTCCAATCAATTTGCGACAAAGAAAAATAATATACTTATTATCGTTAATATTAACTTGATCTATTTTGAACACGGATGCAGCACTGCCATCGTCATCATCATCATCATCATCATCATCATCACCATATGCATTATCTAAATCAAGATATCATTTCATGAAAGTACAATATGCTCTTCCACTGAGCCATCCCTCTATATACATTCTGCTGAATATGTCATACTTCAAGCTTAAACAATTCAATGGTCACAAGGCTTTTTTGCCTGAATCACATTCAAAAGGTGGTGACAAAACTCTTATGCACTATCGTCTATTGAGAAGAAATGTAACTAAAGCNTAAGCTATAGCCCATAATACAAAACTTTTATCGGAAAAGTTTGGTCACGTGACTCCAGCTGCAAAGGGCCTATTGTACAAGCAGATTTTCAAACCATACAAGATAGTGGTCCACAAATGTGACTTTGATGTCAGTTGCTATAATTATTTAGTTAAGTTTATTTTTTGGAATCAAGAGTTTCTCCCACAATCACTGCACTTATGGACCTGACCAGTGGCGGATCCAGACCTTGAGCTAAGGTGGGGGGCGGTTTTCTTTTGCTTGCCCTTCCGGCTTTTCTTCCTTCCGTGATTTTTTCTTTTTTACCCAAAATAAGGGGGAGCGGGCCCCCCCTGGCCCTTCCCCAGATCCGCCACTGCTGACTTAAGGTGAACCCTCAAAAATAAAAGTAATTAAAGGATTTTCTTGAAACTTTCTCTGAATGTTCCCTACCAAGCACTGTTTCGAAAACTGGGATATAAAAAAGATAGGTCACCATTCCCGCAAACGAGCTGATGGGAGCCAATCTGGAAGCTGATGATGGGCCAATCTTACCCCATTTAAGCATAATCACGTGCATTATTACATCAGTTCACAGAACATTTTGCGGGCTTTTTAAAGAAATCTTAATAAAAAAAACTTGACAGGTAAAAAGTCTCAAGTATATCGACAATGTAATAATTTATGGACCATTCAGGCAATTTTAAACGACATCGACTCAAAACGTTCCTTGAGTGCACGCTATATCTTATTTACCTTTTGAACTTTTTAATTGTTTAACTTAAAGAGGATAATTTGTACACCAAAATTATGTAATAAAAATACAGGTCACCATGCTCATTTAAGAGAAAACAAACATTCATTCTGTTGTCGAGCTTAGCTTGAAGGAGATCTCTTAATGTTCTGTATCTAATGACGCAAAAATCGTGCACAATTCTGAGGAAGCACCTTAACAGAGTAGACCTCAGCCACGCAAAAAAAGCTTTAAAAAGACAAATCAATTCATCGGCTGTTGCCTAACTTCGTTTTAACCAGCAATGAATGCAATAACCGTGACAAATCAATTAATCGACTGTTGCCTACTTCGTTTTAACCAGCAAGGAATGCAATAACCGTAAGTTGATGTTGTTGGATGAAGTATCAATAATTTCGTCCCCAAATACATACGAGTTTGGATCCAGTTCTAGGGCTTGTTGCGGATCAGTGGGTCCCATCATAGCTCTCCAACCACTGACAGCATCCTCTTTTGTCAGCACCATGAACAGTGTAGGACCACTGTAAGGACATGTAATAAAACAGTTGCGTTAATAACGTTAATTGTATTTACTGCATTGCTAGTTTTCTGATTGTTTTCACATTACTTGACCTGCATTAAGTCAGAACCAACAACCAGGTCTATAGTCTCTCTAGCTTTCCAGCGTTTGAACAGAGTGTTATCTTTCAAATCTTTGAACCTCTGACCGAGGTACACTTTGAAATGAGCATCAGGTAATTTTGCTCAAAATGAATACACAGTTATCAGTTTCATTGAACGCTTTGCAATAAAGTTTTGCATTTATTCTCAGTCTACCAAAGTGGAAACTACGTGTACTTCCTTTCCTGAATCATGTTTTTCATTTGGTCAGTTTTGATGAATGGTACAAGTAACAAATATTTCTGAGCCAAGTTCTTCACCTATAGAAACGTAAGGACTGGGCTTTTAACAAACAACTTTTGCTTTGTCTGAAATTATTTCTAACTCTGTGATGGAGGAACTGAAACAAATTTAGTTGAAAATCTNGCTTGGTTCATTCAATGTGACTAAAGAGACAGTCTTGGACTGTAAATTAATGTTCAGAATGAACTGTGCAGATTTCATTTTGCTCTGTCAGATTTTTGGAAATAAGTTTCTTCAACTATTATGCATCCAGAGTGAGGAAACAATACATTTGCAATATTATTGCAATACATGCAATATTATTGCTTCTGTCCAAGAAATATAGCTTCAACAAACCTGGTCATATTTTCAACTAAAGTTTCAAAGAAATCAGAGCCTTTATGTTCTGCATAAAAAGCTTCTGCCTGCTCCCTTGAAAGTGTTATTTCCTTTGACATGGCAATGGTAAACCCTGACTCCTCAATCTTTGCCAGAATAGACTCTGAAATGTAAGAATTCATATTATATATCAACAAATTGACAAACTTTACATTTGCAATTCACCCATGTCTAATCCATCATCTGTCAGACACTAGATACATGTAAATAATAGACAAATAAAATAAATAAATAAATAAATAATAGTGAGCACTAATGACATCTCAATAACTGCAGGTAACCTCATGGAGCATAACTTAGGTTGTGTGGTAATTTTCAGAAAACATCCATACCCACTCAAGAGTGATTGGAAATTGGATGGGGATCTCATAGGCAAAAAACTCTTAATACTGTATATAGATTTAGCCAAGCCAAGCCTAAATGTGCAACCTTGATGAGCTCTAAACCTGAGTCTATGATGTGGTCACGTGATACTGGTCAGCGGATACCTTGTTTTGACAGCTGCCACTTAACCATAACATGGATGTCCAGTATCAAAGATGTACCTATGGTAATGGTGCTACTCTCTTATCTTTAGGGGTATGGGGCTTGGTATACAGACATACAGACAAATGTATGTACATACGTACAGACATGACAACCCCACTTTTTTAGATCTATGGGTTACCAAATTTTCTAAGGTACAGAGCTCTGCTTACGCACCATCGGCGTGAAGGAGCTCCACTGTAAATGAACGCATGAATCTAAAGTGAAATTTCCAGAAGGGTTGTGGAGATCAAACCAAAAACCCTCTGAGAGGGGAATGTGGATATTTTCTGGACTGACCCACTGTACCTCTACGTGTGCGTAGTGCATCTGGTCTGATGAGGGCAAGAGTCCTTTGTAAACGCTTCTTTTTTCTTTTCTGGATTACAGTAGGAGCCACAAAGTCAGGATAAAAGAAGGCAAGCTCCCTAAAATACATATCAAAGATAAACAATCTCGTCTTCAACCACAGTTGGAAGATGGCAAAAGATTTACGGAAAAATGACATAATTCCTTGAAATCATATATATGTTGTAATTACTTTACATGCAGTTTACCTTGCTGCACTTTCAGCAGAATCACAACCATGGACTGCATTCATCACAGTGTCTGTGCCATAAAGAGCTCTCAGGCTAGTGTGACAACAAGAACTGAACATCAGTACAAATTCCTAGAAACACATGTCACGTAGTTCAATTTAAAGAGTGTTATGAGGAGACACCATAAAGTAAGTTCCATGTATAGTTTTATTAATGTGTGCACTGTTGACTGGAAGCTTTGGAATCTATGCATGTATGCACGGTGACACATAGACTTAGCTGAACAGATTCGTTGANTTCGAAAATTTTTTAGAAAGTTCATTTGAAAACAGTTTATTCCAGCCTGATAAAATTTCCCCTGCATTATTTACATGTTTTGAGTGCCTGTTGTATAGACTGTAAGGGAAATAACACTATAAAAAAAAAGTTTGCTAGAGACTTGTAGATGGTTTATTTATTTATGCAAGAGACAAGGTCTGCTGTAAAGGCTGGTTTCCGTACGATCACTATGACCACAGCAATTGCTATGATAGCTCAGGAAATGTTCAGCAATTGAAGAATATACAGCTCACCTAATTCTTCCTCTTCTTCTTCAACCTCCTTTTCTTCATCTTTCTTCTCATCATATACAGGCTCTTTCAGGGCTTCTTGATCAACAAACTAGTAAGAACAAAAATCAACCACAATTACTGTACGTCAACCACTGTCCTGAGTATCAAACAAAATCAACCAATGCTTTCGATCCAGATGGCAAAAAGTTGATGACAAGTGACAGCCATGTACTTGTGAATCATAAGAAAGATAACAAACATTTTGAGTAGTTGGTTTGAGGCAAACAAAAAAACATATTCCTCCATTCAAAAGTATCTTGACAGGCTATCATTAATTGCAAAAGCTAAAAACAACTACACAGACTAATTAAGTTTGCAAGTTTAATTACATTATTAGACTTTATAACTTGCACAAAATACTCTCTCCTGTTCTGAAACATCTAGTTGTGTTTCTATGAAGTTATGTGATAGCAAAATAGAGACATAAGGAATCAAGCAACTTGGTTGAGAAACTTTTAAACATCAATATGAAAGTCTTCAATAGTGATAGACTTTTATGTCTTAATCAGAGCATATATTTTGATATCAGATGGCTTAACTGCTTCCAAGAAATGTCCCTAAAACTCAATATTAATACTATACAGATTCAGAAGAATTAAGGCTTTACAGTTTGAATTATATAGCATTGTGCAGACCAATAGATAAAGGGCAACAGCAGCATTTTTTCCTATGGACCTTATTAATAACTACTTACTGGAACTCTTTCACCCTTTCCATCTAAGACTTTGTGTTCTTTCTCCAGTTCATTACGTATAGTCTTCACCAATAAAGGGCAATTGCATCCTCTCACAGCATTTACCAGAATACCGCCCTAATAACACACAAAAAAATGTAACTA